GAGTGCCTTGGGTTATCCAGATGGACATGTTCAGGAGGCATCTCTCTGTCCTGGAGTTTGGGGTAATACTGTTTATTTATTGTCTTGTTTGGACTATCCATTCCCTGAGTATTATCTTTGCATATCATTTCTCTGCACCTGCCATTATATTCATGTTTGGTGAGGAAATAAAGATTGGGCTGCCTTCATATTCATTTATTCATTTTTAAAGTACTGATACTCAAATTTCAGGGCTCACACATGCTGGGCAAGCACTCTACCACCGAGCTATACCCTTAGCCCATGTGCTGCCTTCTTTACAGGAGCAGAAGGAGATGACACCACCTCTTCTCTCAAGGTGTTTACAAGTTTGTTGAGGAAGTGACATTACAGAAACATTTTAGATGATGGGACAAACCAGAATAATGTGGTAAAGCCTCTGGGAGATCAAAAAGGAAAAAAAAAAAAAAGAATCATTAAGAAGGAGAAAAAGGGGCTGGGGCTGGGGCTCAGCGGTAGAGCACTCTCCTAGCACATTCGAGGCCCTGGGTTCAAATATTAATAAATAAATAAAATTTATTGTGTCCAACTACAACTTAAAAATAAATACATATTTTTTAAAAAGATGGAGAAAAAGTACGCTGGGGATATAGCTTAGTGGGTAGAGTGCTTGCCTCCCTTGCACAAAACTCTGGGTTCAATCCCTAGCACCACAAAAAAAAAAAGGAGGGGAAAAAAAGTCAGGTACAATGGCACCCACCTATAATCCCAGCTACTCTACTCAAGAGGCAGAAGCAGGAGGATTACAAGTTTGAGGCCAGTCTGGGTAACTCAGCAAGACCCTGTCTCAAAATATAAATATTTTAGACACCTTGATGGCACATGCCTGTAATCCAAGTGACTCATGAGGCGTAGGCAGAAATATCAGAAGTTCAAGGCCAACCTCAGCAACTTAGCAAGACCCTCAGCAATGAGACCCCATCTAAAAATAAAAAGGACTGGGGATGTATCTCAGTGGTAAAGCATCCCTGGGTACAATCACCAGTTTATATACACACACACACATATACATGTATATATGTACATATATACAGATATATAATTTTGTAAAGGAATAAGGATATAGCTCCATGGTACAGCATTTGCCTAGTGTGTGTGAGGCCATGGATTCAATGTTCCATACCACGCACACACACACACACACACACAGAAAAGTTCACGAGCACTTCTATCGACTGATCACTATGTAATTCTCACAACCAGCTGAGGGTAGGCATTGTGATCCCCATGTTATAGGTAAAAAGAATAAAAAAATTAAAAAAATAAACTTGATGAAATTCTGAGATACCCATATCTTGGTCCAAGGCAAATGAAGGAACGAGCTAAGTTTTTTTGTTCATTCCATTGTTATCTCAGTTCCTGTTCCCCATGGAAACGGATCATCTATTAAAAGCTCCATGGGTTGTTTTTCCTAGCCCCTCTCCTCACACCTGAACCCTCAGTTTCTTCCTTATTCCACTCCAGTTCTCCAACCCAACTTTGCTCTTATGTTTATGCCAAGTCAACTTTATGATATTTTATTGGGCTCAAATTCCAAAGAGTAAACCCCTTGGCTTGGTCTGAGCAACTCAATAATGAAATTCATCCATTTATTCAACAAACATTTAAAGTGCCGGGGTGGTGGTACATGCCTATAATCCCAGCATCTCAGGAGGCTCAGGCAAGAGGATTTCAAGTTCAAAAGCCAGCCTCAGCAATTTAGCGAGGCACTAAGCAATTTAGCAAGACTCTGTCTCAAAATGAAAAATAAAAAAGGATGTGGCTTAGTATTAAGCACCCCTGGGTTCAATTCCTTGGGGGGGGCGGATTGAAAGTTCCAGGAGTGCTTATTTGGGCAGCATATATACTAAATTTGGACCAATATAGAGAAGATTAGCATGACCCCTAGAATGACACACAAATTCCCGAAGCATTCCATAACTTTGTTTTCTCTAATAAGTGGATGCTGATCCATAGTTGTGGGGCGGGCAGGAAAAAAAAATGAAGAAACTTTGGATTGTGCAGAGGGGAGTGAGTGGAGGGGTGGCGCGATAGGGATGGGAAGGATAGTAGAATGAGATAGACATTATTACCCTATATACATGTATGAATACACTACTGGTGTGACTCAGCACCATGTACAGCCAGAGGAATGAGAAGTTATTCTCCATTTGTGTACAATGTGTCAAAATGCATTCTACGGGACAGGCACCTTGACCCATGCCTGTAATCCCTGTGGCTTGGGAGCTGAGGCAGGAGGATCTCAAGTTCAAAGCCAGCCTCAGCAACTGTAAGGTACTAAGAAACTCAGTGAGACCCTGTCTCTAAATAAAATACAAAATAGGGCTGGGGATGTGACTCAGGGGTTGAATGCCCCTGAGTTCAATCCCAGATACCACAAAAAAAAAAAAAATGCATTCTACTGTCATGTATAACTAATTAGAATCAAAAAAGAAAATGTCAGGAAATGAGTAAAACATGATTCCTCAAACATCTTCAATTTTCCTAGTGATCTTCTGGAACTTGGGATTAAGAAATAAACCTGGGCCAGGGATGGTAGCCCATGCCTGTAATGCTGGTGGCTTGGGAGGCTAAGGCAAGAGGATCACAAGTTAGAGGCCAGCCTCAGCAATTCAGTGAAGCTGTGAACAACTTAGTAAGACCCTGTATCAAAATAAAAAATCAAAAGGACTGGGGATATAGCTCAAAGGTAAAGTATCCTTAAGTTCAGGTCCCAGTATCAAAAAAAGAAGAAAGAAACGGAATAAGGCTGGAGCTGGATGTTGTGGTGGCACATGCCTATAACCCCAGATACTCAAGAGGCAGTGGCAGAAAGATGACAATTTAGAAGCCAGCCTGGTAAACTTTGTGAGATCCTGCCTCAAAAGAGAAGGAGGAGGAGGAGGAAGTGGAGGAGAAAGCTTGGAGAAACTGATGTCTGGGAAGAGGTATCCAGCATCAGATGTTAAGCACCTTCAAATAATTTTGTCACTTTGCACTCTTTCACTCTGTCTTCTGGCTTTGTCCATGGTCATACTTGAAGATGACCACCTCTGGATTTCTCCTCTTGTAACTTGCTGCCTTTCAGACATCTGAAAATAGACCTCTCCCCATCCTCACCCATGCAACTTTGAGCCCCTTCTCAGGCATCTAAGATCCTGCAGGTCCAAAGGCATAGGTAGATATTCATAGCTCCAGATTCCTCTCTAAAACATAGTGGCCTCCATGGTTTTTGTTGTTGTTTTGGGTGGAATGAGGGATACTGGAAATACTGAGTATTGAACCCAGGGCCTACATGGTAGGCATATCCTCTACCAAAAAGCTACATCCCCATTCTCTTAAAAAACAAACAGGAGCTGGGGTGTGGCTCAGCAGTAGAGCACTTGCCTAGCACGTGTGAGGCCCTGGGTTTGATCCTCAGCACACATAAAAATAAATAAATAAAATAAAGGTATTGTGTCCAACTACAACTAAAAATAATAAATATTTAAAAATTTAAAAAACAAACAAACTTTATTTTGAGGGCTGGGGTTATGGCTCAGTGATAGAGCGCTTGCCCAGCACATGTGAGGCACTGGGTTTGACCCTCAGCACTGCATAAAAATAAATCAACAAAATAAAGGCATTGTGTCCATCTACAACAACAACAAAAAATTAATAAAATTAAAAAAATTAACACTTTATTTTGAGATAGGATCTTGTTAAATTGTCCAGGTTTGTCAAATTTGCATCTTCCTGCTTTAACCTTGGGATGACACCAGGATGAAAGGTGTGCCACCCTGCCTGCTACTGTGCTGGGGCTCCCTCATTATTTTGTTCTTCATTTTATGTTAATTAATTTATTAGTTTATTAATTATTTTGGGAGGTACTGGGGATCGAACCCAGAGCACTCTACCACTGAGCTACATCCCCAGCCCATTAAATTTTTTGTTTTGAGACAGCGTCTTGCTAAATTGCCAGGCTGGCCTCAAACTTGCAATTCTCCTCTCTCAGCGTCATTAGTGGCCAGGATTGCAGGTGTGTACCACTAAGTCTGGTTCCTCATGTCTTCTTCTTTAGCTACCTCTGGCAGATGGGGCTCTTTTGGACTCAAGTTCTTCACCTTCTCCCTTTTGGGCTCTCTGTGCTCCCACCAAGGTTGACTCTTGTGGCTGTCACCCCTTCCCTCAGGAGTCTGCTTTTGCCCTGATCCTTTGGTCTGCCTTCTCAGGGGCTCCCTTGGTATCTCCCAGTCTGTGGCCCTCTCCCTTTGTCTTTCCAGGGTACTGGTCTCTGTCCTATCGGTTCCTCTGCCCCTGTTCCCATCTCTATGTCCCCTCAGTCTTCCCTTGTTTAGCCGCACCTCTCTTTGGACATTCCTTTATCTCTGTCTCCGATTCTCTCCACCCTAACTCTACCCCTTCTCTTATTCTAACTAAGTCTCTCACCTCTGTCTAGTCCCATCCGACTCTTCTTTTCCCTCCTTTGTCTGTCTCTCTGTCTTTCTTACCTCTCTTCCTGTCTCTCTGGATTTGTCTCTTCTTCCCTTATCCCTCCAGTCTCTCCTAGGTCTCTCTGACTCTGACTTTCCCTCTATACCTACCCCCTCCCCCTCTCCTGTCTCTTCACCTTTCTCTGGGCCCTTGCTCCCTCGCTCCCTCCCTCTCTCTTTTCCTCCGCTCTCTCCGGCTCCCTCTCTCGCCTCGGATGACAGCGCTACCTCTTTTGTTGGCTCCGCAGCCAATCGCGGCCGCTGACGACACGGGGGCCGGGGCTATAAAGGGCCTGGCCCGGGCTCGGGCCCCCCCAGCCGCCCGCCCCGGCCGCTCGCCCGCCCCGCCCGCGCGCCCGCCGCCCCCGGCCCCCCCGGCCCCCCCTCGGCCGGGCAGCCCCCAATCCCGCGCCGCCCGGACCCCCTCCTCCTCCCTCCCTCTTCCCTCCGCCCCCTCCCTGCGGGACTCCGGCGTCCCCGCCCCCCAGTCCTCCTCCCCTCCCCTCCAGCATGGTGCTCGCGGCCCCGCTGCTGCTGGGCTTCCTGCTCCTCGCCCTGGAGCTGCGGCCCCGGGGGGAGGCGGCCGAGGGCCCCGCGGCGGCGGCGGCGGCGGCGGCGGCGGCGGCGGCGGCCGGGGCCGGGGGGGAGCGTTCCAGTCGGCCGGCCCCGTCCGTGGCGCCCGAGCCGGACGGCTGCCCCGTGTGCGTGTGGCGGCAGCATAGCCGCGAGCTGCGCCTGGAGAGCATCAAGTCGCAGATCCTAAGCAAACTGCGGCTCAAGGAGGCGCCCAACATCAGCCGAGAGGTGGTGAAGCAGCTGCTGCCCAAGGCGCCGCCGCTGCAGCAGATCCTGGACCTGCATGACTTCCAGGGCGACGCGCTGCAGCCCGAGGACTTCCTGGAGGAAGACGAGTACCACGCCACCACCGAGACCGTCATTAGCATGGCCCAGGAGAGTAAGTGGGCTTCGGGGCTCAAGCGGTGCGTTGCTGGCTCGGCTCTGGGAAGGGCGCCTCTGGCTTCCAAGCCGGGCGCTCCCGGCTGCTTCGGCCCGGAAGCGTTTTCTGAGAAAACTTGATGGATTAGGGACCCGGGGCTATTCCACAGAACTTTTTTCCAGCGGTGAAGCTGGGCAACGGAGTTGTGTGCAGGCCCTGTTCCTGGAGGTGGGAGGGGGCAAACGCGACGGGTTGCAAGATACTGCCTCCCAACCCCGGTGTGCGAGAAAGACCCCCGTTAAAGGAGTCGGGGGCGGGGGGAAGCTGAGGCCCGCAGCTTTGGGGACTAGGCAGACACTCTGTCCTGAAGGGCCACGGGTGGGGATGACTAGAGAACAGAATTGGGAGGCTCCCAGCTGGGCCGCAGTACTCTGTCTTCCCATGGTCCTGGCACCAACTCCCCGCCCGATGCTCCGCAACGCGCCCACCCGGCTCCAGAGAACCGAGTGCCCCTCTCTGTCCCAGGAATAGGATCCCAGAACCCAGTGTTCCTCCTGGCAGCCCAGCTGGCACCCTTTTCATCCTGAGCCGTGTCTCACACTGGGTATCCCAAGGGGCCAGGAAAACTGTCTTCTTGGTACCGACCGATCTCAAGATAACTCCATTGCGCTGGGGGCTTAAGGACAATCATTTGGTTACTTAAACCTCAGTGTTCCGTCCCTTATTCACCGGGCCCGATGGCAACTGGACTTAAGAGAGAGGAAGACCCAAGGGAGAATGAGAAAAAACTGGACGGGTGTTGGGGGAGACCCAGGCATCCGAGTCCCTGGCTTAAGGAAGCTGAATACTGAACACGTTAATAGACATGAGCTGCTTTGAAATTTTATGGCCTGGAAAATCCAGGCCAATACCACTACCCCCAACTCTATCTTTCCCTAAGGTCAGGTGACTCCCTCTTCCCCTCCCCCACTGAGTCTCCCCTGACTCTTCAACTCCAGGGAACCAAGCCCTCTCTTATTCCCTGGTGGTTTGGCAAGGTCCCCCACCCCCCAGTTTGGTTTATGGCTCTGAACAGAAGAGGGGGGAGACTGGTTTATTGGCAGATGGGTAATAAAATGCTGGGGGCTGAGGGTCCTAGTGGCCCACATCCATAGGAGAGGCACAGGAACCCAGGTGTGCATCTGGGAGGTTTAGTACCTGGTAATGCCAAATGTGTTTCTGTAGAACTCAACTGAACCATACTTATTCAGGACTGTAAAGAAAACTAACCAGGAAAACTAACTGGATTTGTGTGTGTATGTGTTTGTATGTGTGTTTGTGTGCACGCGCACACAGGCGAGCTATGCACCCCGCACCAAGGGCTGGAGATCTGATCCTGTTTCCTCAGTCTCCCTTCTGCTCCTTTTAAGACTTCTGCTTGTGGAAGCTGGGGTCAGTCTGAGATTGACCTAGGGCAGGGGTGGGGGTGGGGATTTTAGGAAACAGTAGTAGAAGAATTCTGATCAAGAGTTTGCTGGAAGAAGATGAAGGGTACAGAGGGAAAAGATGCTCTGGTCTGTGTGGTATAGTGTGTGAGAATTCCCAGGATGGGTGACAGGGCCTTGGACTTCCCCTTGCTCCTCACTATGCCTAGCATTCCTTAGCTATAGGTCTGAGCTCAGAATTAGCTCTGTAGTGGGGATGTGGGAAGTGAAGGGACCCTGCATGCATGGATGGGGCAATGAAGGTTAAGACTGAAGGAGGCACCAGCAGTTGGTGTCTCACCCCAACTTCCACTCTTGTGCCACCAACAGTACTTGGATAACTAGGGAACTGGGTCTCCAGCCAGGTATTGTACGTCCCCTTTAAGAGCCTAGCTGAGCTCTTAAGAGAGGGAGGGGGAGTGGAGGGAGGGGGGAGGGAGAGAGGGGAAAAGGAAAAAGAGACTTTTATAGTCTAATCCCCAGGGACCCGCTTTAATAAGAGACTTGTGCTCTGCTAATCGGGGGAGGTGTTTGTCAGCAGAGATGGCCTCTGCTCCCCTCCCCCTGTCTCCCCTCCCCCAGCCTTCAACCCTGGACCCCAGCCCCCACCTCGCCTAGACTGCTTTGCTTGCCCTAGTTCCCTCTACCCTCTCAGGCTCTCCCACCCCAGCCTTCATCCTGGGAACCCAGCCCCCTGCCCTTCTGGGAGCCGAGCCCAGCCCCTCAGTTTCTCTCTCCTCCCCATACAGAGAGGCCCCTGCCCTCTCAGCCCAACCTCCTGCCCCTAGGCCTTCTAGCCTGAGTTGGAAAAGGGTGTGTAGTTGGGGGTGGAAAGGGGAGGCCGTAAGTAAGGAGGGGGTTGGGCTTTTGCTGAAAATAGTGCAATGACCTCTCTCCCCCAGCAGCACCGCCTACTAAACCTGACCTGCTGCCTGCCACCAACCAGATCAATCCAACACACATGTGGCCCCCTCCCTTTCCCATCAGAGCTGTTAAGGATTCTCCCAAGCCCCTTTCCCTCTATAGCTCTACCTGCTTATTCTTTGTTTCTCCCTCTCTACCTTTTCTGTCCTCTTATCTTTACCCCACCAGGTTTAGCTCCCTCCCACCTCTAGCTTTTTAACCCCCACCCACTCCTTTCTACTCAACCCTGGTGTTCTCCAACTCCCAAACTTATTTCTTCTCATACCACAATCTTTCTACAACCTCCGTTTTTCTGCCTATCTCTACTAACCTGACTTCATTCCTGGATCTTCTTGATTCTTACTTCCCTCACCTTCTCCAGTCTTTCCTGACTCTTCACCTTTCTCTTTACTTTCTCCCTATGTCCTGTCCCCTAGTAGTACTGACTAGTCTCCCATCCAGTGGAGAAGTGTATGAGGATTCCCTGGGATGGGCAATCCTTTATCTGAAGGAACCAAAGGATCAAGTGCCCAATCCCTCACCTTCAAATCTTAGGTCAGCTAAAGGTAGTAGGGTATGTTTCGAGTTTAGAAAACCAAACACTTATTGAGAAACTACTACTATTTTCACATTCTTTAATGCTCAGCACCTAAATCAAGAATCATTACTATCATACCAAGAAGTCTATGGGAAAGGCCAGATGAGGAGTCAAACAGTGGTTAAACCCACTTCAATGTAGCCAAGGACAGTTTAGGAAGAACTCTCAAGCACTTGCCTGTGTAACTGAAAATTGGGAGTTCATTCAGCATGTATTTATTGAATACTGCTTGGTACTATGGGAAGCACTAAAGCTACAGTGGTGAGTAAAATATATAGTATTGACAGTGTCCACCCTCAAAATGAGTATCTTAATAGCAAGAAATAGACACTTCCTATGCCTAAGTTAGGCATAATATGCCATTTGGATTGTTGCTTGTCATTCCAGAGCTCACCAGTAGCTTCCTTGCCCCAGCTACTCTCCTAATCTCTGAATTTCCATTCCCCAAGCCCCACTCTATTACATCATTACTGAAGCTCTAGCCAGTAGGATAAATGGGAGGACTAACAGAACACTGCACCTCAGAGAAACAAGGAAGACGATGATGCAGAGGACTTTGTGTATTGTGACCTAAAATATGAAGATTACAAAGGACTTTCTTCCTATCCTATTCAGAAGGTCCTCCTCTCCTGGAGTGAAGTGGGAGAGTGTTCATGGATGTTAAGTCCTCCATGACTACACAGAATGTTATGTGGGCATAATACCTAAGGGCCTACCTGGACTTCTGCATCATAGCTATATGGGCCTGGAAAAGCTCATTCCAGATTCTTCTTATCTAGAATGAGAATGGTCATTCTTGAGAAACATGATTCAGGGCATTCCCAAACTATCTAAGACATTAGGAAATGGAACTGGAAGAAGCTGGGAGCACAGGGATATATTGAGCATCATCTTTAATCCCCAAGGTTTAATTTATGGTCCAGAACAAGGGGGAAAGGGTCAAGATGTGAAGTTGGGATACTGAACCTCTGTAGACTTGCTGGTGGTCCTGGACCAAAAAAAAAAAAAAAAAAAAGGAATCTCAGGGGAGAAAAAGCTACTGAATTTTGTTTGTCGTGCTAGGGATTGAACCCAGGGCTTCACACATGCTGGGCACTTCCTCTACCACTGAGCTACATACATCCCCATCCCTTTTTTCCCCTAAGTTTTGAGACAGGATCTTGCTAAGTTGCTAAGGCTGGTCTTAGACTTGCCATCCTCCTGCCTTAGCCTTCTTGAGTAGCTGGTATTACAAGTGTGCACCAACTGTACCCTGCTGATTATAGTTGATATGGTATGTTGAATTATTATTTGTTTTGTTTTTGTGGTGTTGGGGACTGAACCCAGGGCCTTGTGAATGAAGGTAAGCACTCTACCAACTGAGCTATATCCCCAGCCCGAATTATTTCTGATGCTTTGGGAAAATAGGAAGAAACACAATTTTTCCCTCCCTCAAAATCTGAAGCACTAATGGTGGTGATGATGAGAAAGCAGCTAAGGAAACTTCTTTTGAGGAGAAAAGGAATGAGGAGTCAGATGCATAGGATGTGCTTGGGTAGTTTCATTCTGGTGCTACCGGGGATGACACAAGCCTAGATTTCAGTTCTGGTTTAGTTTATAAGATAAATTTAGCCTACATTCCCTCTGGACCCTGAGTTATATCCTCTGAGGCCACCTTTTTTTTTTTTTTTGCCGGGGGGATGCCAGGTTCCACCTGCCCATCAGACAAATCAGCAGAAATGGGGCAAGGTAACCTAAGGACAGCAGGTGTGGTAAGAGGTATGGCTTCTATGAAGAGCTTAAAGATTCAGAAAAAGTTGGAGCCTTACATTCTGGGAATAGTTAGGGAAGGGAGAATTCCCTGATAATTACCTTTACAGGTTAAAATGTAGAGGGGAACCTGTGTATTAGGATAAGTAAATGGATTAGGGAATTGGTACAGATCAGTAAAGACTGATAGAGCCCTCATCCAAAGTGAGGAGGCAGTTTTCAGTACCTGAAACCCCATACAGATAATCCATAAGATAGTCACAGGAGAAGGGCAAAAGCTGAAACACTCAGGCTGAGGAGTCCAAACTGCCAATGCCACCCAGGGATGCTGATCCTTTCTACAAATACCCTTTGCTGATGTTGTGCTCCCTTCTCTCTTATCAGCGGATCCTGCAGTGCAGACAGATGGCAGTCCTCTCTGTTGCCATTTCCACTTCAGCCCCAAGGTGATGTTCACAAAGGTACTGAAGGCACAGCTGTGGGTGTACCTTCGGCCTGTGCCCCGCCCAGCCACAGTCTACCTGCAGATCTTGCGACTGAAACCCCTAACTGGGGAAGGGACCGCAGGGGGAGGGGGTGGAGGCCGCCGTCACATCCGTATCCGTTCACTCAAGATTGAGCTGCACTCGCGCTCCGGCCACTGGCAGAGCATCGACTTCAAGCAAGTGCTACACAGCTGGTTCCGCCAGCCACAGAGCAACTGGGGCATCGAGATCAACGCCTTTGATCCCAGTGGCACAGACCTGGCTGTCACCTCCCTGGGGCCAGGAGCTGAGGGGCTGGTGAGCAGGGGGCCTGAAGTGGTGGTGGATATGTGTATCCTGGCCCTGAGGAGGTGGGGATGTTAGAAAAAGTAGACCAGGAACATAAAGGGAGGTGGGGACCAGTATTACTTCTTAGGCCAGGAGCTGATTCTAGATGAGTTGGAGGATGGGGTGGCAACTGTCACTTTTCAGGGAACCAAGCCAGGCAGCAGCTGAAAACTGGATTTGGGGTAAAGGTGTCAGATAATGGAACCCAAAAACTGGACGTTGATGAGGCCCTGAGCCAAGGGGCTGATGAAGGTCAGGTTGCCAGGACAAAGAACTAGGGAAGGCTGAGTTGAGAGATGGTAGATGGCAAGAAAAGTGAGTTCAAGATAAGGATGGGGTGGGTGGGGCAATGGAAAAGCCAAGAAGTCAATGGTTTCTGTTCTGATGCCACTATTGAGAGGCAGATGGGGGTGGGGGGGACAGGGAAGAACTTTTCAGGGCTATGTCACATCTCTTTCCCCTCTCCCTGACCTTCAGCATCCTTTCATGGAGCTTCGAGTCCTAGAGAACACAAAACGGTCCCGGCGGAACCTAGGCCTGGATTGTGATGAGCACTCAAGCGAGTCCCGCTGCTGCCGATATCCCCTCACAGTGGACTTTGAGGCTTTTGGTTGGGACTGGATCATCGCACCTAAGCGCTACAAAGCCAACTACTGCTCCGGCCAATGCGAGTACATGTTCATGCAAAAGTATCCGCATACCCACTTGGTGCAACAGGCCAATCCGAGAGGCTCTGCTGGGCCCTGCTGCACCCCTACCAAGATGTCCCCTATCAACATGCTCTACTTCAATGACAAGCAGCAGATTATCTACGGCAAGATCCCTGGCATGGTGGTGGATCGTTGTGGCTGCTCCTAAGGTGGGGGACAGTGGATGCTTTCCCCACAGACCCTACCCTGAGACCCCAGCCCTGGCCCCCATCTCCCCAAGCCCTAGAGCTCCCTCCACCTCTTCCCATGAACATCACACCTTGTTCCCTGACCAAGCAGTGTGCAATACAACAGAGGGAGGCAGGTGGGGGTTGAGGGACAAGGGGTTGGGGAAACGGGAAAGGAGGGACAGACATAGTTAGGGTGGAGTGTTTGATGTTTGCAAGTAAGAAGGTTTGGCAAGAAGACAGAGAGATGTAGAGACAGAAGTACAGAGGGATAGAGACAGGAACAAACAGCAACACTGAGAAGGCAAAGGAATAGAGAGGCAGAAGAGACAAGAGACTAGGCAGAGACAAACAATGAGAAAGAGACAGAAATGGAGTAATAAATGAAAGCCCCACACCAAGCCTCCTTTCTTCCACTGGCAAGGTGAGGGGCTTGGTATAGTTTGGGGAGATCCCCTGACTATCCAGTAGGAGAGGAAATAAAAAATCCATTCTTAGCATCTTCCCTCTCCCCCTACAACAATAACCAGGGGAAGGGAAGCAAGGGCAGGGGCAAAAGTAAGGATTTGGGAATTTTATTTATTTATTTATTGTGACTTTTCTTTGTTTTTTCTTTTTATTTTTGGGTACTTGGCTTTACTGGAATAGGAGGGCCCCTGCCCACTATGCCCCATTTGTCCCTTATGCCCCAAACCCTGCTCTTCCCCAATACCCACCCACTTAAGCACTTGTATAAAGCCTCCAGGGTTGGGAATGGGAGTAAAGGGCAAGAGGGCTGATATATGTGTTTCTAACCCATAAGCAACCTAACTAACCAAATGGGTTGAACTGAGTGGCCATGGAAATAGTACAAGATTGGCGTTTAAGAGCTGAGGGAGGGGAAATCCTCAACATCCAGGATCTATGAGAGCGCCACTAAACTAACCCTCAGACCCACCTTCTCCAAGGTATTGATTTAGTCAGAGGGTATAGCCTGTTTATGCCCAAATTACCCTCAGCCGAGAGAGACCAAAGAGCCTGTGGAATGCCCCTGCTCCCAGCCTCTATCTTCAGGTCAATAAAAGAGTAGAGACCCCAAAGTCCCCCAGGTCTGGGTAAGATTATAAAGGGTCAAGAAAGGAATAATAAGGAGGCTGAAGGTTACAGGGCATTTGAATCCAAATCACTGCTCTGGGCTAGGGAATAGAATCTGTAGACCAAGGTGGAAGGGATTCTGGAAGGGGGACATTTTAGTCCCCCACCCCCCAAAGCTCAGGGTGGAAGGAGGGAGAAAAAGGGAGCAGAGTGTCTATATAATTTTTAATCTTTTATTTTTGGAGTATAGAAGTACCTGGAAGCAGGGAGGGGATAGTACAGTGGGGAAAGGCATCTGACAAGGCCAGTTGACGGCAAAGAATGGGAAGGAAGGAGATTCCCTGGTTTGAAAGGCTAGGAAGCAGGCAGAAAGCAGTTGCCACTTCAACTCACTAGCTGGGCCAGTTCATTCCTCCCATAATCCTGACTCACTCTCCTCTGGACTCACTGTGCCTCAGTTTCTTCCCCTCGATGGAATAAGAAATAGCAGCACCCGCCACAGCCAAGAGATGAATTCTGAGCACTTACCACGGGCACTTTATGGACATAAAATACCTCTCGCTGTGGGACAAGATAACCAGGGCACCAGAGTAGTGGTGAAGATATGTGAGGCTTAGAGGAGTCACAGGCTTCAGAAAGTACAAGTTCCCCTGCCTCGCAGATGGACAGTGCCTGAAGCCAAGGAGTTGAGAATCTCCACACCCTATCCATACCTCACCAGCAGATCTCTTGGCTCCAGGCAAGAGCCTAAGGATGTCAGGAAAGCAGGGGGTGGGCTGGGGGGGGGGGCGCGGAGACCTACAGCAAAATGGTACTCTTAAGTAGATCCAGCAATTACGGTCTGGTAGAAACAGTACTGAACTGAAGTAAAGCCTGAGGTGGAGAGCAGACCTGGAAGGCTTATTCTTCCTGAGCACATGTCTCTCCTGCTTGGACCAGACCACTGAAGGGGCAAAGGTATGGTGACCACCCTTGGGAAGGTGATGCTGGTGAAATTTAGCATCTTACTTCTATTCTCATAGTGAGAAAATGAGATAAGGTATTTCAGTAGAGGAATGAACAGGGACTGTCAAGCTTTTCAACTCACCTTCCATATAGCAGCTATTTTAACCCCAAGTCTCTCCTCTCTGGCCCTATTCTTCACCCTTCTGCCCCAGTCTTGGAGAACAAGACACACCTGACCATTCACATTTCTTTGGTGGAAGGAGAGGAGCAGAAAAGTGAAGAATAGCACATGCTTCCCCGCAAGGTCAAATACCTCTTGATCTTGGATAGGGTGGGGACTGGGCAATAAACATTAGGTAACTTCCCTCTACAAAATCTAAACAGCTAGGGCATTAAACTTGGGGGACACTTAAAAAAAATTGCCCTTTAATACCACCAAATAAAGACCTTTGCAGAGTCAGGAAAGGGGTCATTTCTCTTAGGAATATAAATCTGAGTTGAAATTGCAGTCCCCTGTTCCTCCCTATCCCCAAAGAGGCATGGGATAGAAAAGCTTGGAGACACAACCCAGCAACCCAGTGGGGGCTGGCACCCTTCCCCCACCTTAAGTGTGTGGACCTGGCCAGTGCCCCTCGGAACATATCATTACTGGTGTAATTATTTACTTTGTGTATTTGATACATCATGTGTGTGATTGCCTTTGTTTGTTAAGGGTGTCTGAGGAGTATGGGGCTGACTGGGGCACTGGAATGCCAGGAAAGGACTTCTTCACTGAGATCAAGGCTTCCTCGAGGGAACCACTGCAAAAAGGCCATCAGGTAGTTTTCAAGTTATGTGACAGAGGGCAAAGATGGCCATAGGGTGCTCTGAGTTTTGGGATGGTCACATGACACAATCCAGCACTTGAACCTGAAAAAAGAAAAATAAAAGCAGTCAAAGAGTTTAGAAATCAGTGCCAAGCTCTTCTCCCTAATCAAGCGCGACATTTATACTTGGGAGTCCAGGAATTGAAGAGGATCTAAAAGAGGAAACCTTTTGCTCTAGGACTAAGAAGATGGGGTCCATGGAGCAAGAGAAAAACCACTATGGATCTGGGTGTGTGGTGCACACTTGTAACCCTAGCAACTCAAGAGGCAGAGGCTGAAAGATTGCAAGTTTGCAGCCAGCCTCATCAATTTAACAAGACCCTGCCTCAAAATTAAAAAAAAAAAGGACTGGGGATGTATGTGGCTCAGATTGAACACCCCTGGGTTCAATCCATGGTAATGCAAACAACAATAAAACACAAAAGTGCTTGTGGGATGAGGGTTGGGACATGCAGTCCAAGACAGATGGACAGAGGATGAGAAAGGAAGGGGAGTTCCTTTCTCTGGAGAGCTTGATTCAAAACAGTCCCCCAGATTATAAAACTCTCCCAGCCTCCATAGAATAGGAAATCTGAAGTTTTCTTAAGACAATCCAGCTAATGTCTGCTACTCTGCAGTCCCTACTCCTAGGTTTCCTCAACAGTTTCACCAAAATTCATGAAACAAAACTGACAGTTGTTTGCTTTGTCTGCAAAAAAAAAAAAAAAAAAAAAAAGTGATTAAGCATTTCAAATAATCTTTGAGTCCACTATACCTAGAGGGCAATTTCCAGGATGTTACAAGTTGGGGGTGGCAAAACAACCTTGCCTGACAAATAATAACATAAGGAAAGCTCCTGTGACACCAGCATGATCCAGAACAGGCAGCAAGGATACTAAGGGTTCAATGTGCCATCATGCTTTCCCTGCCTTGTTCATTCTACTACCAGACTGACCCCACCCTATACCAACTACAAAACAAGTTGAGACTGGGCAAGTAACTACAGTGTTGTGCATTGTATCATCCCTTAGGGAACTGCTTTATCTACAATTCTATCCCTAGCTTTTGGCCTGAGTCAAAATGGTTTTCCCCTTACTACTCAAAGGAATACAGAAGAAATTGTAAGATGAGTTTTAAGTCTTTTCTCCTTTTCCCAAAACACCCTCCAAGAAGTACATTAGCAGCTATTCTATCATTAGTCTTTGCCCAGTTTTCGTATGTGCAGGGCATGCCCCAAGCTAATAAACAGCAAGCAGTGTAACATTTAGTCTCTTGTGGATAGTGGGGCAGAAGTAGGAAAGTCAATGCTCCAGGTGACAATGTTAACTTTCCTACCCATAGGCTGAGGATTAAGAGAAGAACTGGAACTCTTCCCCCATCTTCCTAGTCTCCAAACTCCCAAATACAATTGCATAAGCACGTGTATGCGTACATACACAGGCCCAAACTCACCCCCCCCCCATTCTTTATCTAGAATCTGTTCAAGTGGGAAAAAAAGTGTTCTTATCCTACTTTTATTTTACCCTTATAAAATTAAGAGCTAATATTTTTTCAATGATTATTAAGCATTAACTATACTAAGCAAATTATACTGAGTTCATAATATGAAAGTATTAATTTTCACAGCAACCTTCATAATACTGATACAGAGTCTGGAGAGAGTCACAGAATTAAGTAATTTGCCCAGGGTCATAGAGCTAGTGTGACAGAATAAGAGATTAAACCTAAACAGTTACTACATACATTACACTCTATTAATAGTGATATAAGAGAAAACAAAATACAGGGACAATAAAGAGGAAAGAGATGACAAAGTCAGGAACAAGATGGTTCAAAGGGTCTGCAAAGGCATGCAACCTTTTATTTTCAGTCCTCTTGGAGGAAAAAACAAGAAGAATCTGGAAACAGCAAGAGAAAGGGAGATCAGAATGTGTGTGTGTGTGGGGGGGAGGACTTTAATAATCATAAGTGGCAATGCCTGTCAGAGTCCTCATGTAAGAGAACAGGGAAGCAAAGTACAATGATACACACCTGTAATCCCAGCTACTCAGGAAGCTTGAGTCTGAAGGATCCAAATTCGAGGCCTGGGCAACTTAGTGAGACCCTATCTCAAAATTTAAAAAGGCTAGGGATGTAGCTTGGTGGTAAAGTGCCCTTGGGTTCAATCCTCAATACTGGAGGGGGGTGGGGAGCAGAGAAAGTTATTCTCTCCTAAGTTCCTCGCTACCCCATCTGTTTCTCATGTTAGACACAGCAAGAGGACTCAGCTCAGCACTAAAAAGAGGTCTGGCACGGTGGGATATATTCATAGTCCCAGCTACTCAGTAGGCTGCAGCAGGAGAAATGCCAGTCTGAGGCCAGCATGGGCAACACAGGCAACATAGAGTAATGCTGTCTCAAAATACAAAAACAAACAACAAAACACCAAGAAGCTCTGTCCTTATTCACCCCTTTCTTCCTATAGCCTTTACCCACACTGAAAGTTTTAGTCTTCTGGGGGGAAGGGCAGCTTAGGGTGATGGTGGTGAAGACAATGATCCTAGAGAACCATAAAAAGGTGCAGATTTACAGCTAAGGAAGCTTGTTCTCTCCACAGCTTTTATAGACTCCCTCATTAAGAGCCTCCAGGTATGCGGAGAATGTCACAGCTTTACAGCAAGGAAAAGACTGCAGTCAGCTATATACAGGAGTGAGACTCAGGGATAAGAAGGAAGGAAAGGTATTTGGATCCCAGATAAGAATTATAAACCTAGGTGTCTATTCTGTTAGGCAAACAAAAAGGACTTTTTTTTTGGTGCTGGGAATTGAACCCAGGGCCTCAGCATTCTACCGACTGTGCTATATCCCCAGGCTTGGACTTACTGTTTTAAATTCAGGGGGGAAAAATCCTAATTTTGAGCATTCTATACTATTCATGCTCAAAAAGTTATGTGTGAAATGACTACACTGAGACAGAAAGAGAACATGGTGGTCAGGCTTGGAGGTTATAGTCTTTTGACTGACATAGGAAAACATGGCATCAAAGATCTGAGGAAGGTGGGCATGGTGGTACATGCCAGTAATCACAGCAACTCAGGAAGAAGGATCACAAATTCAAGGCCAGTCTTGGCAATTTAGAGAATCCCATCTCAAAAACTAAAAAGGGTTGGGGATGCAGTTCCGTGGCAGAATGCTCTTGGGTTCAAACCCCAGTACCACTAAATAATAAATAAGTGGGGAGTGAGGAATTGAGCTGAGTAAAGAGAATGATGAAATGTAAAGAGTAAAGAATCTAGCGAATAAGGCTGAATACATTTCTTTCTGTAAGGTTGTAAAGACTAAACAGACAAAGTGAAGAAAATTTCTGAGGGACCCATTGCTCTGTTCCAT